TTGCCGCCGCAGCCCACACTGGCCGCGGGCTGCGAGCGCCCGCTGTGAGGCGCCCGCGGCGGGGAACGGCGAGTGCTGGGGTGCGCGAGCCTGGCGCGAATGGTCGGCGAATGTGAGCGTGTGAGCGTGGCGGGGAATGCGCGTAACTGTTTTGACTGTCTGGGAGGGAATGTTCGCGTGCACAGGCCGGCGGGGGTCGCTGTGGACCGATGCGTGAGAGAGCCCAGGGTTGGACCGAGGGCCGGGGGCGCTGGGGCAGCCGGGACCGGGTGGCTCCCTGCGCACTCCCGGGCCCCATGTGCTAGACCCCACCGGGCCCCGGGCACCGGGGCACGCTGGCGGAACTGCAGCTCTCTGGGGAGCCGCAGGGTCGCGATTTAGATGGGACTGGGCGATTTTTACTCTCCAGTCGAACCCAGGGCTCCATGCATGCTAGGCCAGCACTAAGCCACATCCCCAGCCCTCCCTCTCCCCCCTCCCCCCCTTTATTTTTTTTGGTGCTGGTTCTAGGGCTTGAACTCAAGGTCTGGATGCTGTCACTTAGCTTTGTCACTCAAGGTTGGCGCTGTACCACTTGAGCCACAGCTCCAGGCCTGCCTTTTGTTGTTGTTGGTTGTGGGGCTTCAACAGTGCCGCTTCCTGTAAGACACTCGTTGTCTCCAGTTAGCCAGCAAAAAAGCTAGAAGTAGAGGTGTGGCTCAAGTGGAAGAGTGGCAGCCATGAGCAAAAAAGCTGAGAAGAGAGCAAGAATGGAAAAATGCCAAAAGGTTCTGAGTTCAAGCCCTACTACTGGCACATTAAAAAATAAAAATATACGTTGGAAATGAACTATATAACTTGTAAGTGGGGATGGGAGAGAAAAACAGAGCGAAGGAAGGAGTGAAATTGTCCAAAAGGAAAGGTACTTCTTACCTGGCTTATGAAGCTGTAAACCCTACTGTATATCTCCTGTATAATAACTTTTTTTTAAAAAAAAGACATAAAAAGGTAATAACTTAAAAAGATAAAAGACGGGCTGGGAAGGTGGCTCAGTGGTAGAGCGCTTGCCTTGCATGCCTGAGGCCCTGGGTTCGATTCCTCAGCACCACATAAAGAAAAAAGCCGGAAGTGGCGCTGTGGGTTAGCCTTGAGCTGAAGACCTGAGGGACAGTGCCCAGGCCCAGAGTTCAGGCCCCACGACCAGACCCCCCCCCCAATAAAAAGATAAAAGACTTTTCTTATTTTTTCTTTTACTGGTGATTCTGTATTCTTTACCTTATTTATGGTGTATTCACATGCACATCTGTGAGAGAGTAGGGGGGAAGGTACAGGATCAAAGGAAAAAGGGTGAAAAAGTGTAGCAGTGGAGCACACTGACTACACTAGACTTTGATGAAATGAACTATGCAACTCATTGGTGGAGATTGGAGGAAGGGAATAGGAGAGAATGAGGAAATAGATGACACTGTAGGAAAGGAAATATACTTATTACCTGATTAATGTAACTGTAACCCCATGGTATACCATCTCTAAAATAACAAAGTAAATTAAAAAGAAATTCAAAGTGAAGTCCCCACCAAACAAAAAGAAAAAGATGTATTGTCTATACAAAAAATAAATGAACCCTCTCATTAATCTAACTTCTATACCTGTGAAGTGGGCTAATAAAATTGAAT